GGCTGATTTTTCCGAAGTATCGCCAGGCCTTCCTTCTGAGACACCTCTGGGTAGATTCAAACCTCCAGCTTTTGGATTAGCATCTGGGCTAACCATTAGCACCACCCAGGGACTCCAGTGGTGTCACAAGTGTCCTTAAATGGGAAAGACTGAGGCAGAAGAGGCACAGTGATGCAATGTAATAAGGACACAACCTGCAGTTACTGACTTTGATGAGGAAGAGGGCCAGTAGCCAAGGAACGCCCACAGCCTCAAGAAGCTGGAAAAGGCGGGAAAATAGATTCTCCCCCAGAGACTCTGGAAAGGAACACAACCTTGATGTTAGCCCAGAAGACTTAAGTCAGACTTCTAAACTACAGAGCCATAAGATAATAAATTTGTCTTGTTTTAAGCCACTAAACTTGTAGTAATTTGTTATAGTAGCAATAGAGAGCTAATATAAAATGTATTATATTAATATTAATGAATATATGTCCATCATTAAGATTCAATTCATATACCAAAAACCAAACCAAACCCACTGCTGTCGAGTCAATTCCAACTCATAGCAACCCCCACTGGATATCTGGTGGCCTAGTGCCTAAGGCATTTGACTGCTAACCAGAAGGCTAGCGATTCAAACCCACCAGCCACTCCTCGGAAGGAAGATTGAGCAATCTACTTCCATAGTGGTACTGCCTCAGAAACCCAAGGAGGAGTCGCTATGAGTCAGATCCGACTCCACGCCAGTGGGTTGTCTGTATTTCTGATCCTTTTCTTGGTGGTGTGTCTGGATGGAAAAGTTGAGGGTTTTTTTTTTTTTTTAAGTAAAAAGATTAATATAGTTTAATACACACACACATATATGTGGGATCAGAGGTAGCACCTGTTAATAGCACCTGGAGTGCCTGAAATACATAAGTGCTGATGCTCTAAAAGCCCAGGGGTGGAGGTGGAGAGTAAATGGGATGACTGCCACAGTTGCCAAGATTTGAGCACCACCCTCGAGGAATGTTACACCCAAACCACTAAATTAGAGACACAGTTTCATCTCATTTTTCCTTGTAGGTCCTTAGGTCAACAGAGCAATTCCAAGTTAAAACTGCTGAATTCTAACTTGCATTTCTGTATTTCTTTGGACTCTTCCCTCCAGATGCATTTTTTCCCCTTTGCCTTGGTGAACTCCTTTAAGCCATGGTTGCCACCTTTCAGATTTTCTGTCACTTGCTTCTATCAGTTAATGTATGCAGTCCTCTCACATTGTCTGTAGTTCTACAGCCTGCATCCAATCATACCAGCTTCCTCTGGTTTCTTACCAAAACCAAAAACCAAACCCACTGCCATTGAGTCAGATCTGACTCATAACGACACCTTCTTGGGTTTCTCAGGCAGTATCACTAGAAGTAGATTGCCCAACCTTCCTTCCAAGGAGTGGATGGTGGGTTTGAACCACCAGCCTTCTGGTTAGCAGTCAAATGCCTTAGGCACTATGCCACCAGAGCTCTCTAGATACATGTAGAGAGGTTTATTATAAGGAATTGCCATGTCATGGTAGGTTGTCATTGGCTCACATTCCATATTCCCCATTGTTCAAAATGCAGGACACAGGCCCCACAGAGGGCCATAGTCAGCTGCAGGAGGGGAAGCATCACTGCTCAGGATCCAAGCCAACCTCATTGCCCTGTCTATTCATCCATTGTTACCGCACTCCAAAACAGCGTCCCCACCCCCCCACACACACACTCCTACACACACCAATACTCAGGAAAATGACTTTCAGGAAATTGATCTGCTACATACTGGTCAGCTTTTTCTTCTTTATTTACCACCCCCTCCCCACCTTGGGTAACTAGTAACAATGCATGGTAAAGCCTTCCAGGCTGGCTTTTGTCCATGGTACAAATATATGATGCACATGCTGATGGTCTGGATTTTTTTTAATGGCTTATGGTGTGTGTTTTCTAGAAGTTGCTTTTGTTTCCGCAGTGTTCTTCCATGTTAGTATATAAGATACAGCTTTTTATTACAGGCATTGAGATTTTTCTGCTTGGAGTGAGGAAAAAAAAAACCTCACTGCCGTTGAGTTGGTTCTAACCCATAGCGACCCTCATGGGTTTCTGAGGCTGTAAATCCTTATAGAAGCAGATTGCCCCATCTTCCTTCCATGGAGTGGCTGGTGGGTTTGAACTGCTGACCTTTGTGGTTGGCGGCCAAATGCCTTAACCATTACATCACCAGAGCTCCTTCCTGTTTGGATCATGCAGTTGTATTTAATAAGCTTAATTAAGCTTCTGTATTCCTTCTCTTTGTCTTTTCTTCTGAAAGGGAGCCTAAATCATGCTCCAAAGAAGCATTACCTTGAACTATCACCCAGCAGAGCAGCTTTTCATAAAATAGCTCTGCTGAATGACAAAGAAAGTTTCTTATGATCTAGCTCAACAATTCTCAATCTTGGCTGCACATTAGATCTAGGGATTATATATCTATAATACATACATACATACATATATATATTATTATTATCTATGTTAATATATAGAACATATTTATATTAATATAGAATATATTTCTACCGTAACATGTATTTACTGATATCTGGGCTCCATACCCAGAGATTAAGTTCATCTAGGCTAGAGTCTGGGAAGCTCATGTTTTTCAGTTTCCATAGGTGAGTCTAATGTACAGCCAGAGTGGAAAGCTGCTGATCTAAATATGTTGTCCCCATAGTCTGTTCAGTCATAGTTCCTACAAATCATTCTCAGGTAGCCTTGGCTCCACTGTTTGGAATTTCCCAAACCTGTCATACCCTTTTACTTCCCATATTTTGCCCCTTACCTGAAAATCCCCCACCCCTATCCCCTAATCAAGAAAACTAGCTACCTACCAAGTCTCAGCTTCCCTAACACCCTTTAAAATATCTTTGTGTTCTCTGAACACATTTTCCTATCACCTTAGTTCTTTGGGCATTCCTATGCTATAATCTTATCAGGATATTTTAAAACTGTTTTATTGTATGTCTACCCTTGCTAAAATAGTTAATCTTCCACATACTTTTGGTCCTTCTTGAAGTCTGCACACTCATGTCTTGGCCCAGGAAAACAGAACTCTGGCCAAAAGACAGAATCCTGGTCTCCCAGCAGACAGCTGTGTCACCCTAAGTCATATAGCCTCTCGCTTATCAGGTAAATGTAAATCTATAAAATGCAGATAGCTGAGGTCCCTTCCACTATGAGACAAACCCTACATACAAGGGGTTCAAGTGATGTTGAAGACCATTTCCCTGTTTGAAAACAAAGGGGTAAGAGGGGGGATGAAAGTTAAGAAACTGAACACATCAAGTTTTACCTAATTTTTAATTAGTAAAACAAGATCAAAACCAAATCATGCTTAGCCAGATTTTACTTGTGGAAAAAATGAATTTTATGTGACAAATGCTTCATCCACTATGACACATTTCTCATATTCCTGACAATTTTTCTAAATTTCTAAGCAGAGCATGAAAATTTTAGTTTAATTCTGAATAAGACATAAATTCTGACATAAAATAAGACATAATTCTGAATGAGACATAAATGTTTCATCAGTCAGCTTTGTGGGCAGAATGGAGTATTTTCTATTTGACTAAAAGATTGATGCTGCACTGAGAATTTTCTCCTTCCTACCTCTAAGCTTCCAGTCCTCCTAGCACAACCTTACCAGACACCCTAAACCTGGGGATAGAGCTCCCAGAGTAGAAATTTTATAAAAGATGATGGCTGAGTATAAAGCATATCATAAAAATAAAGAAAAAGAATTTGAAAATCATCCAATCAAAATGAAGCCTCTTCAAATCCTAAAAAAAAAAAAGAAAAAAAAATTTCACTAACAAATACATTTATTCTATTTGGATTACAGATGTCACTACCAAACTTGTCTAACTTAACTTTAAATCATCATTTGTAAAGGAAATAGCTGCAGACAATTGCCCAGACCCATTAGCAACAGCATATCCCTTTAGTTCATCCCATGGGTACTCCCACCACCTTAGAGGAAAGAATACTGGTTTTAGAGTTCAAGTCTTTGCTCTACCATTTAGTAACTGTGTGTAACTCTGAGCAGGTCACCCCAACCCAAATCAATTTCTCTGTCCTAGAATATAATAGGAGATTTGAATGGGTTTTCAGCATCAAGGTACCCTATAGAGCAAAATTTCACTGAAAAGCTGGATTTTCTACCTTGAGCTCCAACTGAAATACAGAATCCAAGTTATTCTTTTCATGTTTCAAGAGCTCCTTGCACATATAGCTATTATACTACCCTTCACAATGAGTTCTAAGAATGTTTTCATTTCTCTCCTCCCCTGGACTAGGAGCCTCTAGAACTCAGCACAGTGCCCACACTGAGGGTGAACAAGTGTTTGAAAGAATGGGAAATCTGAAGAGCCAATCATGTCACTTTTCTCTTCTTACTCATAATAATAATTTAAAAAAAAAAACTGCTATGCAAAGGAAGAGAACAGTTCATTTTCTAAAAGCTCTCTTCTCAGCAGAGATGTCCAGTGTGGAAATGGCAGAAGAAAGATCAAACCCTTGCAGGATAATTGGGTGCCTCAGACCTTCCCATATCACACTAGCAGCTCCTCCAGCCCTCCATTAGAGGTCAGTGATGCTGGCAGAGCCACATCTGGGGACACATGCCTTGTTCATGCCACCCCACAGGAGAAGGAAATGTGCCCCATAAGATTCTTCTGTCTTGCTGAAATGCTGCCCTAATTAAGGTCCTCAATAGAGTAAGGGTTATGCCATGTTGTTATGTGCTGTCGAGTCGGACCTGACTCACAGTGACCCCTCCTATCACTATGGAAGTAGATTGCCCAACCTTCTTTCTGAGGCTGGTGGGTTTGAACTGCCAGCCTTCTGGTTAGCAGTCAAGTGCCTTAGGCACTACACTACCAGAGCTCCATAGCTCTCTGTAAATAGTTCCCAGAAGAGTGAAACAAAAAAAGTTTTCTCAAGGTCAGGAACCCACCTCCATGATGCTGATTAATTGTCTCGATCTGTGAAAAAAATGGAGGTGGAAAAAAAAGTCAGTTTTACTTTTAAAATACTGTGTATTGATAGATGTCTAAAACTGTTCTAAACTGGCAGGATGCCCAATAGGACCCACCCTAGCCACAGAGTACTGGACAAGTCCAGGACTATGTTGTTGTTATTGTTGTTGTTGTTATGTGCCGTTGAGTCAAACCCGACTCATAGGGCACTACAATAGCAGTGCTTAAAGACAAATGCTCTCTCAGGCTGTCATTAGTCCTAAATATCAATGAGTCTGTGAGGAAAGCCAGAGGGAGCCAGTAACAAACGCTGGAGGTATTTGCCTTCGTGCAAATGGCGCTGCTGCTCCCTGCTCTTGCTGTAGGAAAGTACTGTGTTAGGGACCTTAAGAGGTTGCTCAGCTGAGGTCTCTCTGTGGAAGACTCTCAGCAGATGCCCCCAACAGGTTTCACACAATGTCACTGGTTCCTAAACAGAACTTTAATAACACTCCCTGACAATCCTGGCATGCAGGGGTTTTTTAATATAGATATCAAAATAGCTTTGTGCCACAACACTACTCAGATACAATTCTCAGCAGTTAAGGAAAGAACTTGAAAACTCACCCCACTTAACTATCTTGGGTTCCTTGAGGGTAACATGCTCCACATGGCAGGTGTATTCATCTTTGCCATTGGGGGTGAATTCAGTATGGACCAGGAGATAGAAAGACCAATCCTTGCTGAAAGACAAATCTGAGCGTTCTACTTTCTCTGTGATCTTCTCACCATTCTTGTACAGATCGATTGTAATCTGGGGTGGATGAAACCCAGACACATAGCAATTCAAGAAATTTGGCTTTCCATTCTCTGCTGGATGACGAGAATAAACCTGAACCTTCGGAGCACCTGATGAACAACAGAGAAACAAAAATGAAAATTGCCAGAATAGATCACTTGGGTCTAACTTGGTTTAAAACTAGATCAAGGCACCAAGACTTTAAATTTGATCATCCCCCTGAAGCTCCACTGAAAAATTAATTTATGCCTGTGATAAAAGAAAACAAAACCCACACAAAAAGTCATAAGGGAAAAGAGACCCCCAGAGATAAGTATAATTGCCATTATAGTTTCTTGTGTGTCTATCAGAAATGGTCTATGCATGGCATATATTACTTTGGACATTTTTTAAATTAAATTATTTTAAATTTTTGGATTATTATTTTAATGACATCTAAAGCCAAACCAAACCCACTGTCATCAAGTCGATTCTGACTCATAATGACCCTGTAGGGTAGAACTGCCCCACAGGGTTTCTAAGGCTATAAATCTTTACAGAAGCAGACTGCCTCATTTTCCTCTTAGGGAGCGACTAGTGGGTTTGAACCACTGGCCTTTTGGTTAGCAGCCAAATGCCTTAGCTACTGTCCTACCAGAGCTCCTTAGATGTCATCTAGTCACAAGCAAGTATCAATAATGGTGATGATACATACAGTATGCTTTATTTTGTAAATAAGTTATATTTTAAATTAATCATCTTTTTCTCAAACCCTGTGAAATGAGAGGGCCCAGCACACTGCCCAGCGCTTGGAAAGTACTTAAGATTTATGGCATCCTTGACAGCATTGGTCACCATCTTGGATTACCCTGATCACTGCTTATACAACCTCCCTGTCTCTGACAGGGAGCTCTGGTGGAATAGTACCTAAGCATTTAATTGCTAACCAGAAGGCTGGTGGTTCAAACCCACCAGCCACTCCTCGGAAGGAAGGTTTCCGTAGAGATATCCAAGGAGTCCGACTATGAGTCGGATCCAACTCTACAGCAGTGCATTTGGTTTTTTGTTTTTTGTCTTTGATAAACCTTCACTTTTCAAAACAAGGTAGAGGCATCAGTTCATGTTGGAAAGAACCAGGCAAGGGGCCAAACTGGGAACCCTCTGTGAAGAAAAGGAAACGGGTCCAGTGCTGCCTGGCCTGCTCTCTAGAATCTCACAAGGGAAAGGTGGGGAAGTGTGTTTCTGAGCAGCTCAGGAATTACAGCCAAGAGGAGAACTGGGGAGCCTCTGCAAAATCCCCTGGCCAGGCTCGGTTTCAGTCCCAAGTCTCTGCCATTCATCCCCTGTATGATTAAGTTAGGTGCTCTGGTGGCACAGTGGACAGGGCATTTGGCGCCACGGAATGAGATGGGGCAATCTACTTCTGTAAAGATTTACAGCCTCAGAAACCCAATGGAGGTCGCTATGAGTCAGAATCAACTCCATGGCAGTGAGTTCATGATTACCCACTGCCATCGAATTGATTCCAACTCATAGCGACCCCCACTGGGTTTCTGAGGCAGTAAATCTTTATGGAAGTAGATTGCCCAGTCTTGCTTCGTTCCAGTTTATGATTTAAGTTACTTAAAATCCCCACCCCTCAGTTTCCTCATCTGTGAAGTAAAGATGATAATCAGTATTGCATCCTAGGAGCATTTTCAGAATTAAATGACATAAAGCACTTAACGTCCCCAGCACACAGTGAACTCTTAACGACCAGTAGCTGTTATGACTATTGCTAAAAGAGATAAAATGAGAACAAGTGCGTTCCTGATGTGAATTGAAAGTGCTTTGGAATAGCGCAAAGCATTCTACAAATGTACTTCCTCGCCAAAATTTGAGCCGGTACGGATCGGGGACTGAGGTGGGGAAGCCGAGCTTGGGTGGCGCCCAGAGGAAGCCCGCAGGTCTCCGGGAAAGGAGTGGAGTGGGAGGGAAGAGGGGAAGAGGGGAAGAGTTGCCGACTTACGACTTAACGACTTACCCGGGCGGTGCTGCCTCACACCGCCAAACACCTGTCTCCGCCCGCTGACAACCCCCGACACCGCGCTTTGGGGACGGCTCTAATCCCACCCCCAACCCTCCACCCACACCAGGAACTAGGGCCCCTCGGAAAAGCGAAAGAGAAACCCTCCTCGCTGCTCTGAAGCTTATCAACACCCCGAAACTTTGTCCCGACTCGCCCAGTCCCGGAAGGTCAGACCATGCCCCCAGTCTTGGAGAAGGGGGCAAGCAGCTGAGTCCCGAATGTGCGCCCCCTTCACACTCCCTCGCTACTCGCTGCTTCCCTATCTCGAGACAGAGCCGCGGGCGAAACCCCGGAGTGGGAAGGAGATCTTGGCCGCCTTACAGAGTTAGAGAAGGCGGAGAAGGAGGCTGCAGAGAAGGGAATATTAGGAGGGGGCACTCACGCTCCACGGCGTCCAGGCCGGACAGACAGAGCAGCGCGACAAGGGCCAACGCCACGAAGCGAGACATCGTGAAGCGAGTCTAGCGGCGCTTGTCACTGGAATGCGCTCACTACGCCTTGCTCCCACTTATAGATGATTCACGCCAGCCAATCCGGGCCCGGACCGCGGGGACCGTCACCGGTCTCTAGGCGCGCGGCGCAGGCCCGGGTTAGAGAAGGGACTTTCCTGTATTCAGTTTCATTTTTCTATGAAGTCTCGTGATACTGAAGAGGACACTGGCTGGACTGCGTGGGTTCGCGCCCCTGCACCGGGACTGCGCTCTCGAGGTTAGGGCATGGGACGCCCATCCTACCTACAAGCCGGAAGCATCTTCGTTCAGAGCCCTCACTTTGCCAACGAGCCCTAGAAGTGCTAAGTTACATGCTTGTTGTTGTTATGTGCCCTCGAATGGGACCCGACTCATAGCGACCCCTCCTTGGGTTTCCGAGGCGGTGTCACTACGGAAGTAGATTGCCCAACCATCCGAGGAGTGGCTGGTGGGTTTGAACCGCCAGCCTTCTGGTTAGCAGTCAAGTGGCATGCCCTAAAACCTGTCGTTGTATTTAAGAACACTGAAGCCCAGAAAGATTAAAGGATAAAAAGGATGGGCAGAACTAGAATGCTGGTTTAGAACTACAACCTGGAAGGTACAGTAGGGTTTTCAGAATCTCTGGGCAAGAAAATAGCCTCCAAAAGTTACAAGCTTCTAGAGGACAGCCCAGAGAAGCATCCAGAATGAACGAAGAACTTCTTGCTTCCTGAATCTCTTCATGGAAAAATTTTTTTGTAAAGCTCTAGGGCAAGTTCTTCCCAGTGTCTTCCTTCTATTGTTGAGGTGATTTTTTTTTTTTTTTTTCATTCTGTTGATTTCTGGGGGAAAAAACACTACTGGTACTAATAGCAGTAACTGCTTAGAGTTTGAGAGTTTACAGAGCTCTTCAACAACATTCTGTTCTCCTTAACCACACTAGAATGGTGCCTAGAGGGCAGTAGGCACTGGGTAAACAGAATGAATGACCTAATACTGAGTAAACTCTGTTAAGATCAGAATTGCACCACTCATTTTATGGATAGGGAAAACAAAGTTTAAAAGGCTAGTATTAAAACCCTAGCCTGATTCTATTGGCACTTATGCTTTGGACACTTGGAAGACAAAAGCCAAAAACCAAACCTACTGCCATGGAATCTATTCCAACTCATAGCTACCCTATAGGACAGAGTAGAAAAGCCCCATAGTGTTTCCAAGGCTGTAAATCTTTACAGAATAAGACTGCTTCATCTTTCTCCCCTGGAACACCTGGTGGGTTTGAACCCTGAGCTTTTGAATGCTTTAACCACAGTGCCACCAGAACTCCTTTGGGAGATAAAGAGCATGGAAATTCAGATTGTTTTGTTTGGTTTTGGTTTTGGTTTTGGTTTTGGATTGCATTGTCTGCAGGCCCAGCTGAGGAAGTTAGATCCACTGACTATAAAAGCACAACAATGAAAAGCAGACTCACTAAGAAAACATGCACACTGTTGTTAGGTGCCAGCGAGTCATCTCCAATTCATAGAAACCCTATGCACAAAGAATGAAATCCTGCCCAGTCCTATGCCATCCTCACAACTCTTGCTATGCTTGAGCATCCACTGCTATGCATTGTTGCATCCACTGTGTCAATCCATCTTATTGAAGGTCTTCCCCCTGACCCTCTACTCTACCAAGCAAGATATTCTTCTCAAAGGCTGGGTCCCTTCTGACAACATGACCAAAGCCTGTGAGATGAGGTCTGGCCATTCTTACTTCTAAGAGACATTCCAGCTGTGCTTCTTCCAGGACAGAACCTGCACTCTAGAGGTACCATAAAGTGTCATAATTACATGGCAAGCTGTGACCGTCACAGATTTTTTTTAGTGGAAAAAGGAAGTAGACTATGCAGGCAAAGAGGGCCAGCGATCATGGAAATCACCAGGGTTTTCAGTCGAAGGGGGTTGGATTGTGCACAACAAATATCTTCCCACAGTGGCGTCACTAAGGTTGGTGTTACCCAGTTTGGTAACTCATGGTGTCATTACCCCCCTAGCAGGGGTGGACGGCCTGGCTAGAACCACCCCCAAACCAACTGGTAGATGGAGCTGCCCTGATGCCTGCACCCTGACTAGCCTGGGGGCAGGCACCAACCTTAGTGATGCCACTGCCCCCCCAGCAGTGCCAGTCCATGGACCTTGGAGTCATTTTGGTGTCACCCCCTATGACAGTGTCACTCCCTGTGACAGTGTCACCTCCCACCCCGAGTGATGCCATTATCTTCTTGGTTTCTTTTACATGTTTTTAGATCTTTTAATGATTCGTATGGTGGAGACCTCATCTCAGCCAAAGAATGTGAAATTCTCCGCAAACCTAAAGAAATGGTTTAATGTATAGAGACCCTCACACAGCGCCTAAACCAAAATCAAACCAAACTCACCTCCACTGAGTCATTACAGAAGCACACCAGCTAATCTCTCTTTCATGGAGCAGCTGGTGGGTTTGAACTACCAAGTTTTTGGTTAACAGCCAAATGCCTTACCCACTATACCACCAAAGCCCCCACACAGTACCTAGTACATAGTAAGTGCTCTAAAATGATTAATAAGTATACCATAACTCCTCCCAAGGAGGAGTCACTGTAAGTCGGATCTGACTTGATGGAAGTGATTTTTTTTTGTATAACTATAAATATTGTTTATTAATAGTAATTAATAGTTATACAAAAAAAAATTTTTTTTTTTTTTTAGTAACTGTTAATGTTGTTTAGGACCTCTGGTAGTGTAGTGCCTAAGGCATTTGACTGCTAACCAGAAGGCTGGCGGTTCAAACCCACCAGCCACTCCTTGGAAGGCCGGCCGGGCAATCTACTTCTGTAGTGATACTGCCTCTGAAACCCAAGGAGGGGTTGCTATGAATCGGGTCCAACTCGACGGCACATAACAACAACAACATTAATGTTGTTTTCCTAGTTTTCTACCAGCCATTTCTATAACTCTTTGGAAGTATAAGAAAGATTATTATTCATAAGATTATCAGTTAATACTCTGGTCTCCATCCCTATCCCCCTTTTAAACACAATTAAGGCTCTTAAGGCCTGAAATATCAGTGTTGAATTGTTTTCTCACTCCCTGGGAGAAACGGCTATTTTCCCCCCACTAAGTTCCTTGTTTACTACATCACAGGGAAATGGTATAGATTTTCACCTATTTGCATAGCAAATTAAAAACCAATAATGGATGCAGTGAAGGCAAAAGGCTTTTTTCCATGTTCTATGTTTGCAGAATTCCTGGATTTCTGTTTAGCATGTGTTTTGAATAGTGACATGAAAATGAGATATAAAACTTATTTTTTAAAGAATAAGAGCACTGTTTGCCTAAGAAGGCAAACTCTGGAAATGTACAAGCATGGCAATTTAATTTAATTTAATCTCCTAGAAGTGGGATTAACAGATGACTCTTTGCCCATATGATTTTCCTAAAAATTTATTTTAACAGTAAACATTTATTTAAAATAACAAATGTTGGTGTGTGTGGAAGAACTAGAACCCTCAGATACTCTTTTTAGGAATGTAGAATGGTACAGCCACTTTGGAAAACAGGCAGTTTTTTTAAAAGTTAAATATACACCTACCATATGATTCAGCCATTCCACTCCTCCATTTACCCAAAGGAAAATAAAAACATTGTGTCCGTACAAAGACTTATACAGGAATATATATTGTTGTTGTTAAGTGCCATGGAATCAGTTCCAACTCAGCAACCCCGCGTACAACAGAACGAAACATTGCCCAGTGCTGTGCCATCCTCACAATCCTTGCTATGTTGAGCCCGTCGTTGCAGCCACTGTGTCACTCTATCCCATTGAAAGTCTTCTCCTTTTAAGCTAACCCTCTATTTCACCAAGCATGGTATCCTTCTCTGGGGACATGACCAAAGTATGGAGACGAAGTCCAGCCATTCTTGCTCTTAATGCGCATTCCACTTGTACTTCTTCCAGAACAGATTGTTTCATTCTTCTCGAAGCCCATGGTACATGCAATATTCTTTGCCAACACCACAATTCAAATGCCATCAGTTCTTTGGCAGTCTTCCTGATACCTGGTCCACCTTTCACATACAAATGAGGCCATTTAAAAAGACAGCAGCTTGGGTCAAGTGCACCTTAGTCTTCAAAGTGACGTTTTAGCTCTTTAATACTTTAAAGAGAGGTCTTATGCAGCAGATTTGGCCAGTGCAATACAGCGTTTGATTTCTTGACTACTGCTTCTATTGGCACTGATCATGGATCTAAGTAAAATGAAATCCTTGACAACTTCAGTCTTTTTTCCATTTATCATAATGTTGCTAATTGGTCCAGTTGTGAGAATTTTTGTTTTCTTTTTGTTGAGGTGTAAATCCACACTGAAGGCTGTAGTCTTTGACCCTCTTCAGCAAGTGCTTCAAGTCTTTCTCACTTTGAGCAAGTAAGGTTGTATCATCTGCATATCACAGGCTGTTAATGAATCTGTGCTGACGAATCCTAATGCTGCATTCTTCATATAGTCCAGCTTCTTGGATTATTTGCTCAGCATACAGATTGAATATGTATGATGAAAGGATACAACCCTGATGCACACCTTTCCCAATTTTAAACCATGCACTATCCCCTTGTTCTGTTGGAACCTCTTAGTCTATGTACAGGTTCTTCATGAACACAATTAAGAGTTCTGGAATTCCTATTCTTTGCCATGTTATCCATAATTTGTTATGATCTACACAAATACCTTTGCATAGTTAATGAAACACAGGTAAACATCTTTCTGGTATTATCTGCTTTCAGCCAAGATCCAGCTGACATAGCAATGATATCCCTTGTTCCACATCCTCTTCTGTGTCCAGCTTGAATTTCTGGTAGTTCCTTGTCAATATACTGCTGCAATCATTTTTAAATTATTTTCAGCAGCTTTGTTTGTAATGTCCCAAAACTGGAAAAATCTAAACATCAACAGGTAAATGGTTAAACAAATTGCATTATATCCA